ACAAAATCTATTGACTTTTATTTCGAAATGTGATGAACGAACGCAATGAAATGATACGAAAAGCTTTAATACATACTGAATAGCTCGTCGGTTCAGTTAACTGATTTTTGCAATCCAATCAGTTATGTTATATGAAGATAGTACAAAACGACATTTTCTTTCGATCTCCCTAATTTCGTACGGAATATGCTTTGGGCCCATGTGTGTAGCAGGGACTGTTGGTGTGGGCTGGAACAGTCCAGAGAGAGGAGGGGCAACGTGGAGAGGACTAACTAACATTCTGTGAGAGAGAAAAATACAGACACCATGAACCACAAGACCAAGTGAAATAAGATCACGACTCACACTCAGTGGGATTGACAAGTTGCCAAGGTCCTTACATGTACTGGATTTGTCCTATTTGTTCAAACTGAAACCACGGCGGAGTCGGGATTCCGTTTCCCCTAATTCACACCACGTCCTGAGCGTTCGTACGTAAAATTCACATCGACTAAACACACCAATCGGCGTAACAGTGATCTACTCTCCCACAGCTCTAACTCTATTTTTCCCAAACACTCACTCTGTTTTGTTGTTATAGTTTTGCGTTGTATGGTTCAATATTAATCACATTCAGACTCTTTCTGTTTGCTTTTCTAGATATTAAGGCTGAGCGCTCACTTGAAACCTCGCCTGCACTTTTGCAAGTCAAAAAACGTAATCAGGGAGCATGGGAAAAACCATGTTACAAACACCATGAAAATTCCACGATAAGATTAAAGTGACGTACAATCAATAACAAAAAACAGTGCTCACGCATCTGAATGCGTCCAGATGTTTGTCCCCTTGTTCTCAAATGTGTGTGTGTATGTTTAGGTGCATGCGGTATGGTCAGTGTGGGCTAAAGGCGTAAAATAAGATTTTCACATGGAAATCGGGAGAAGATTAAAAGCGTTGTACAAATAACACCATGTGTAGGACCAGTTTCGTCGTTGCTCAAATGTCATGAACTGGTTTTGGCTGAATTTGGTTCAGCTGAGCTCCCAAATCTGTCAGGAACGTCTCAGTCAGCTGGAACAACAACACGTACCTAACGCGCTCTGTTCTGAACCACCGGCGCATTCAAATCTGACCGTGCACGGGTGCTACCACACGTCGATGTGCCTTCACACATGCACGCACGCATACACACACACGTACGTTGTCATGCAACCATACTCAGCCAAGTAAGTACTCTTATGTCATGTAACAGAATGACGCTCTTGCGTTAAAAGGATTGTCGCTTTACTGTGTAAACAACTCTCTCAAATGCACCAGTCATGATTGTTCCGCAACGATGGATAACTTGCCTTCTACTGGCATGCCAATTTATCGGAGAATCGATAATCTCATTCTTGCTGACGTTGTTGTCCTTGCTGGTGTTGTTGTTATTGTCATCGCTTGAGTGAGGTAACACATGAACACATTGAACTGGTCTCGATACATTCATTCATTCGTCGCGATCGTTCCACCAAAAGAAGGATAGTCGTCTGAAGGCATGGCAACTGGATCGCATAGGCAGGCACGCACACACGCAATTTCACACACATGAACGTACAGAACGATAACCGGGTCATGCGCTTTGCGCACATTTGACGGATTGATGCCTACCGGGTAGAAATCGTGATTTGACTAAGTCAACCACGAGCGCATGTACACGCATGAGCACCTGTACGCGCACCAAAACATCACACCATCATCAAAAGCGTGCAACTGGATTTATGGATAGCTTGGCACAGAACCGGATAATTTGTGATGGAATGCCTTTGCAAGCTCGTGTACAGCTTGTACAGCAGTACACGGTTGCAGATCATTTTTGGATGATCGCTGTTACAGTGGATCGTCATGTCTGTATTTTTTTAATTTTTCATTACCACGATCAAGCTTTTTCTCACACTGTGTACATTTCGTACAAAGTTTGGTTCATGAGCTACTTAAGTACGTTAGTTAGGTACGGTACAGCTAAAATACCCGGGATTGTCTGCACATCCTAGAATGACAATGATTTCTGGTGTGATATGATATTCTCCCATCGTTTGCGTTTTCGCCGTAGTGGTTGAATTCACTCAATCAGTCAACCAAGATTCTCTAATATTGTAGTGTAAAACGATCATAGTACTGAGGAGACAAACACTGATTTTGCTCATTTTCTATCATATGCCCGGCAACGATGACAAAAAATATCCCATATTCCTCACGTACGGAACCGCTGAAACTGCTATTATATGCACGTCTTCATCTCTAACCGCTTATGAATATTGACTACCTCTGTCAGTCGTAAAAGTTATTTTTCTGATACAATTCTAGACCAGTATAGCGGTCTCTGTAGCGGACCGTCTAACTGTATACTACACCTGACTTGCAAAGTTACCATACTTATTCCCGCTCTCATGGAAGTTGCATGCTGAATTTAATTTTTACAGGGGAATTCTCATTGATCTGTTTGTGTAATTAAAACGTCAATAAACTAAAACCAATATTTTGGTTGATTTTCATGTATATAAATTCACATACTCGTTTAAACCTACGCATATTATAACGTGAGAAGTTGGAACGACAACAGAACCATCACGTTTATCCGTACAAACCTCATTGAGGATTGAGAGGGGCGTTTCGGAGGGCTAACAGCTGTTTTCAAACATTCCTATGCATTCGTTTAAAAGCCTAACTGATAAAAATTAGTAAATGATAGTTAATACCTGTGCGCGACTGTAAGGCATATGACTGGTGCCTATTGTTTGAAAGAACAATAAAGAAACAGGGAAGAAAACAAAATGGCTTATGGCGTTGCATAACTGTGAAGAAGCTGCAATCAACTATAACGTCTTTATTATTCTCCCATTAGTTTATATGTATGATCGGAACTGCAAAATCACCTACACAATAAGCTGATATCCAAACAGGTTTGCGTGTAATAATAAGCGAACAACTGTGATCTGACCTCTGTAAACTGACAGTTTTTAATTTGTTGGGATTAAATAGTATTCCTCTGGATTAATCAAGTAATCGCACTAGATGACGTGACTTGGGTTATTCTTAGCCATTCACTAACCGCAGTATTTCTCACCAAACAGTGAGACAGATACCTACGATACCTAAGATCTACCTCGGGTGTACCACATATGCATTCACATGAGTAAAAAAAACAACATTATCTCAGCTCCAATAGTTTTTCCTTCAAATGCACACAGGATTAATACCTTGGAGCACATGCAACGTCATTTGGCTGATGGTATATTAGAATCCGTCGTTACTCTTTGTAATAGTACTGATATCTCTCTGACAGTGTTTGGCCTTTAAATGGACCTCGGATGAATGTCTATTGCTTGTACCGTCGGCTAAGTGTTCCACTTGTGTGATCGGTTATCAACGAGCCTCACTGAGATTCTATCTTTTCCTATCATTTTAATTTATCTTCTGTTATTTACTACTGAAAATATCGCTGGCATCTGAGGCCAAACAACTGCTAATGTGAAGCACAATGTATTCACCCTGCTCAGGAGAAGAATTCAGTAAAGTGATTATTTTTACCCTACATTGCTGTTGTTTTCAGTAAGCTATCTCATTGGAAGTGAAACTGATCGTAGGCGTGTTTAACTTCACGTTCTGTGGTCACAAATTGCTCATAAGCATGGCACCTTCCTGTAGCATAGTTGATTCATTGGGATTTTCTTATCACCAAACGATTAGACTATTACTTCTTTAGATGATATAAATTTATCTACCGTTCATTCACCTTGCTTTTTGAATACGCTAAGTTAAAAACATGACAGTGTGAAAAGTGCTCATTCATGCTGAGCAGGATGTGGAATGTTTTACTGAGCTGAACAGGCGAATCACACAATAAGTTACGTCCAGTCAGAGTGATTCGAGCTAATAACGTGAGCCCATGAACCGATCGGCTGGCGACCCACACTGAAGGAACCATTGAATACTGTGTCACAACAAAGATCTATATCTTAAGTGATTGCAGTAACGTCTTATTTTGTTCACTAGATACGATCAACCTTCTAAATTCTCGCAGGTACAGAAATCCTCGTCGACATTCTTAAGCATTAGGAGTAATTGTCAAGGTTGAAGCTGACTTTACTATTACTGTAACTATCTATGACACTAGCTTAACTTATCTCAAGAAATGTGAGAAATATCGCGCACGGATGAATGGGCGTCTAAAAACGAGCAGTTTACACCCAGAAACCCTATCAATTCAAGATTCGGATATCACACATAACTGTTCGGATTAGATTAGAACATTTTGGATAATATATAACTTCGGGATTTGAGTTAAATAAAAGTGTTTACTGTCCTTTGAGTAGAGTCTCTGTATACCGGATTTCAATTCAAAATTGAATTTTAGTTGAAGAATTGAATGAATCAAACTATTACAAGATTCAATTTAGAATTGTTTCGTCCATAAACCCGATCTTCATTGGATTTTCGATGTCTGGCGATTCACAGGAGATAACTCTTTTAAACTTATTCTAATCTATGATTACAGCGACTCAACGACAGATGCTCATTTTTAATGAAAAAGAAACAGCTCAAGAGAAGAGATAACTTACGTTTTGTATTCAAATCTATTCAGTCAATCTTCCTAAATCGATGCTTAGTACAGCGTGTAACTGCTAGTTTGAAAACTACGTAGCTCCGGACTAATTCGCGAAATTGTCATTCTATTGGTTTAGCTTGCGCTAAATTGTGTCTGTCACACTTGGAACGAAAGAGAAAGAACTCTTGAATGAAATTTTCAAAGTTTATTTTAAATACCTAGTGGTGGGATCTATATGAAATCAAAATAACAAGTGAGACATGGAAGCACAGAAGCAGTGGTTTGATCACTCAGTTAGATACAATGCAAAACATGTTGACGGAGCTTCTGTGAGGCCCCAAAAATGGAACAGTCATGATTCTGCCCACGTCCCGAAACATATCCACACAGATCCTGTCACCGGAGGCTGGGGCCACGTTTGCGTTCATCCGATCTAACCTCGTGGGGTACGCCAAGCCAAGCAGATGTAACGCCCGAATCGGAATTGGATGGACAAGAACGGTTCGTGCGAGAACTGCATCCAGTACGAGCCGGTGAGGATAACGCACTGCCACACACGACCATATGTATCGTCCAAGAATGTTTTCAGCTCGTGTGCTACATCTTTCATCTCCTCATCCTTGCTGTTGTGTGCCTCGACCAATTTCTTGAATTTCTCGGTTACTTCAACCTGACGTGGTTGCGCCATTGTGGTCGCGATCATTTCAATATCGGGGCTCAGGGCCGGGGCTTTGCCGGACCTTTGGATTGCTCGTTCCTTCTGTTCAACACGGCTGAAACACGAGAGTGAGAGAGTAAAGTGACAACCCATATCAGATGAATCGCGATTAAAACACAGTGAGTGCAACCAACTTAACAATAATATAGCAGATAATAAACTCATGCAATCAAGAGATTTTCGAAATTTGTGCTGTATATAGGAAATATTGGTAGACCTCATTTCAAATCATTCACACTAAATAAACAAACGACCAAAGAGATAAGGCTTACTCACATTTCGTCAATTCGCAAACCAAGACCGCGACAGAATTCCATCAGAGAAATCTTTCCATCATTGTCGGCATCAAAATGCTCCATCCATTCCTAGAGCAAAATGGAGAAAATTGATGAAAAATAATGAAATTTATAAACCTCATCAAAATTAATATTACACGGCAAAACGTCTATTGGGACTAACGGTTAAACGATCATTCAATAATCATAAACAAAATAGCATACATATCCACTTCAATACAGTTTATTGGGCAATGAGAAACTCAAAGAACGGGCATGATGCCTTGGTACACAGATCAATTTAAAAGGCTTTACTGCTTTGTCATTGTACTGCAGATGGTAACTTCAGGTTATGCTAAACAACTTACATTTATTTTGGTCTCGGAGACACCTTTATCTTTGTAGTATGCGATCAGTTCCTTCTTGTCCACTTTCTCGTCATTGTTCTTGTCCAATTCCATAAACCAGTCAATCAAGGACTCTACATCGTGGAGTTTGTATGTGGTAGTCATGGTGAACTAATCGGATGAGGTGCCAGAAGGATGAAGAAGTAGCAAACGACGACTGAATCGGCTTGTAGTGAGTCTGATGGTATAGAACTGCTTAAATAGATGCTTTGCACACCAAGACAGACGAAAACACATACAGAGTTGCATACAGCTCAACAAGCTTATCAAATTAATTGCCATAGCCAATCCCACACAACTCATCAGTCCTATGGAAGTTGTAACGTAAGAGCACTTGTCATAATTTTGAGTGACGGAAGAACCATAGACCAATCATAGAGTCTCTAGCTAAGTATCTCAGATCATTCGCAAATTTCTCATCAGGGGTGCTTGGTGTATTAGTTAGTGTTATGTCATATGGTACTGATGCACGCAAAAGACACGACAAGGGGTGATGGCTATGCCAAGGACTGTAAACAAACGCATAAGCAGACGCATCAACGCAGCCAACTCGACAAGAAGTGGGAGCAGTAAGCTTGGCTTAACGTCACTATAATTTGTAAAAAATGTTTTAGTTCGCTCCGAACCTCTCATTTAGTTTGCATTTAAAATATTCCAATTCACGTATACTTTACCGTTTTCTTCTGTAGACACAACCATACAAACAAACGTGTTGACAGCGTCGCAGAAAGACGTGTATGGACAGACCTCGGCGTATTTGCATTACCACATGAACTTACAGGTAAGTGGGCGGCGCAACAGGTGTCGTTTCCACATCCTGCCGCATTCGTTGTGAGTTTTGGAACTTCCAATGTACACGTGCATCAGCCGTCACATGGTGTTTTTTAAATACACCATGAAGGAATGGTGTCTGAACAGACCTTTGTTTGGATCAGTCATTTCCAACTACATTTAGCCAAAAAATATCCAGTCTGGCGGCTTCCCCAAAACCTGGTACAAGTACATCAGTTACTCAATCAATAATTGCGTTTCCCAGATATCTTCCATTCTTCTACCTTTTTGAAACCGTTCGGTGATTGGTAAGTAATGACCACTGTGATAAGGCTCTCGATGTGCGAACACTTTTAGACGTATTGCTGCCGCTGAGTTTGGTGTAATTCAAATCTGCGACCTCAGACGATTCCGGCACATAGATTTAATTGTTGCAATGTTGCAAATACGGTAAATCAAAGCAAAAAAATGCGACTGCAACAGAAATGCTGATAGCAATACAAGCAGTAGTGGTGATATTAACAGATAACGATAGTTAGCCCTTTTAGATTTAGTCAGAATGCTTCAGATTATGTGGTTAGTCCTACCGAGGAAACATGAAACTAAAACTTGTTCTCACCTTGGAGGACGATGGAAGGAAAACTCGTCATTTGCCAAACGCTGTGCAATAAAGCTTCATATATCGCATCAAACAACCACCATTGCTAAAGAGGATGATGACAATGATTACAATGTCAATGAATCAGGTGATAGTTGGACGGATAATGATCGCCAGCATGGTTCTGTTTTTTATGACTATGGAACTACTCATTTGGCTGCTAATGTATGCGGAATTTGCAACAAGTTTAATGTCGGGGAATTTACATTACACTGCCAACAATAAGGTAAGTTATTTATCGATAATATGATTATGCGGAAAGACACTAAGGATCAAAATAAAATCTAGACCACCCAGACACAAATATTTGATAAAGAAACTAAAAACACAATCCTTAGCTTATTGCTTTGTCCACCAAAAATCTATCTCTATGAAAAAAGGAATGCAAACCCGAAATAAGCGTGAGATCTAATCGCGCAAAGCCCGGCTAAAGCAACTTCCGTCAATTTTAAAGCATTTTATTGGTATTATTTGCGTTAAGTGGCTTTTTGCCCTCTAAATATAATCAAATGTCCATTTCTCTACCGATATCAATACTTTGGACGTCAGAATTGTCCATCTTGGCATGCTCAAAAGACTGCAACCTATCTCTGTTGCAATCGATTGACTTGGCTACTTCAATTTAGTTGGCGCATAATACATACAGTGAGTCCAGAACAAGTCTTTCATATGTTGAACCGGTTTAACCCAGGCTCGTTTAGTGTTCTATTATGATAACATTTGATGAACAACGTCCTGCTAAACAATTAATTCCGGCGTGAAAATCCATCTATTCCATTAAAATCTATTTAATTCAGAAACCCCGAAGAAATCGTAATTGAAGTATTGCTATTCTTATTGAAGTCGTTTTTCTAAATCTCCATCAATCCATGAACACCCCGGTTCATCTGGCTGTGTGAGATCAGTTGTTGTCACAAGGTAGATTGATTTAATCGAGAAAGGAGCTGCCAAAACATAGTTTCAAAACACAATCGAGACTTGTGGAAATGTACGCAAATATACGGCAAACGCAGTCTGGCAACAAAAGATTTACTTTCATCAATGTTTTATGACAATATTTCATTACAGTTAGTGTACTAGAGAAAATAAAAATCCAATTGGAAGTGTAGGTTTGCAATAAAATATCAAGACAAGTGAGTGCAACGCATGCCTAACTAATTCAGCCTCAGACTAATTACTCTAATGTGGAAAAGTAGTCATAAGTCTACTTTCACGATTCAATTCCTTGTACTTTCCTTAGCTTTAATCATTCGTATTATATTAGTGCAATTATCCAGCTGCACAACGTCATACCAATTTTTTTAAGGAACTTTCAATAAACTTCTGACTGTGATGCGCTCCAGTATTTTGGTTGTCTGTGTTATCTTCCAAAGGTTGAACATCTGGGACTGGAGGCTAAAAGTATTTGATACAATACAATAATATTATGGTCCGTTGGACTATAGTGACCGCTCACACCCGTTTAGTTGACTATAGAGGAATAAAGATATAGCCACTTCATGGTTAATCGATTTTAGATTCAAACTATTCTAAGCTGAATATCCTGCTAAACGCGAACAAATTTTAAGACTCTAGTTTCTTATCCAGATAATCAACTTGTTCTGAAAATGTTTGATTACTGATTCACACATCAAAACATAACTATGTGCTTTGACCGTTCTTTTTCAGTAGTGAAGAGCACACTTCGAGGCTGAAAAAGTTTGCGCCGCCTGATTCAAGCCTTCTGGCAGATCTTTGATGATGCACCGTATCCTTAATCGCGGCTACAATTCGGGATATGAGCCTAACGACTCACAAGGCCACAACTTTGTCGAACGTGTTACCGCCACAACTAAATCTGATAACAGAAATACCCTTTTTATGGGGTAATATCATCATTGATGCACCAACGCTACAAAGAGGAAAGAGTCACGTATACCTGAGGAAGCAATAAGCGTCTGTACTATTAACTGTGTAAAATGGGATCTGGACTTGATAAAGGCCTTCCAAGAGGGTCGAAACGTCGTCACCAAAAAATAAACTTGTTTTTGGTTTTTCGTCGCCATGGCTAATCCAAACGTTTTCCTTCACGGATCTGATACCATGAGCATGACGCACAACTACTTCAATAACATCCGTTCCAAATTTGCATCTAATATTGTGGGATCTGTTCACATTGCCATGCAAATTTATATTCTTTATATTCACATGACATGCATCACGAAAGACCGTACACCATTGCTATTTTTTTGCGACCACCGGATCTTCTTGCATGATTTCGGTAAGCTTTCGCTCAAGCAGTTACATGTATTAATTTACTCACTGAAATGTTAGTAATCATCTCTTAACGAATAAATCATGAAAAGACCTTCAATGCGTTGAACGGTGACAGCCGTATCACAGTTATTGTCCTATGCTGTCATACACTGGTTTGACTCCATTCAAGTAGGCATTGTGTGCTTGCCAGATGGTTTGTCGATAGTGCACACAGATCAATTCCGGTAGCACAACCGAGTCATTTGCATAACGCATAAAAAGAGCGCGGCTCAAATTCGCTGAACCGGTAAATGCAAACCAGATACACTTTTCGCAGACCTGAACTTTAGACACTGTTGATTCAAGCGTACATGAAACGATTTTCTAACCAGCAGGAAAGAGAATTATTTTCCTCTGACATTACTGCATACTATAAAGTGCAGAACGGATTCTCATGATAAAATCACGAAAATCTGCCTATTTTGTCAGAGTCGGAGAAACTACTCAGAACACTGACGCACGATCTAGATTATAAATCAATCCAAAACAGACAATTTACGTGTGAACGGCAAATTCTTTGGACACATGATGATCTGCTTTTTTGAGTTTATCGGACGTTCTCAACTTTGATAACTCATCGGATTAAACTGGACACAAACAACAGTCAAGCTAGGGTGTCTTTATAGTTATCGTCTCTCACAGCAATTGATTGATATGCCTTCAATGTTGGATGTATTTAGAGGGAAAACATGAAAGGATTTTTTCTGAAAAGGTTACTGTGGCAATTGTTTTACCAAAACACGAAACCGTCACTTACTGTAGAACGTGAAATTTTTCAAGTCAGACATTGGTTTGTGTTCACTGACACTTTATATTTGAAATGTTCGAAGGCTTCCAGTCCACTGCTCATCTTTGGCAAGGTTGGCCAAAATGGAACAGACCGCTCAGATGTTATCATATTTTTGTTGTCATGTTATTGTGCCACCAATAACCGTGATTTGCCAATGAGATTTTGAGCAGCTAATGTGAGATACTGTGTTTGATAAATTTAGTCGTCCAGATTGTCACCCGGGACACGGCCGAATTCGCTGCAGTACATGATTAAACCTGCATGTGGGCTAAAATCAATTGCATAAAGAGTTTTCCCTTCACGGTGTTATGCGGACTTGCTGTCCTAGTTTCTAGTATACATGGTTTCGAGGTGATTAAAGTTAACGTGTGAACCACTGAATAGGTGAATTTCGCCTCAGGGCAGGATCGGTTCTTCATAGTGATCGGACTCATCTCAAACTCATTGGATGAAAAACAGCTTCTACCAAGCTCGGTTATTTCAACCATCAACAAACGAGCAAGGAACAGTTTTTAAACCTTCGGTACGGCTCGTCACCAAGGCCAAATTAGGTCATCTCAAAGGGTTTCATCAACAATAACAGAATTGAAA